TATCAAGGGTAATCTTCTACGTTGGTTTGCCTCTTACTTACAAAACCGCATACAGTCGGTAGTGCTTAATGGCTACATTTCCTTACCCGTTGTAGTAACATCTGGCGTACCACAGGGATCAATACTGGGGCCACTCCTCTTTATCCTATTTATTAATGACATTTCAACTTGCTTTGACCACTGTAAATTCTTATTATATGCTGATGACTTAAAATTGTACTCTGCCATTACTAAACCTGACGACATAAAATTAATACAAAACGATTTGGACAGACTTGAAAACTATTGTAAAATTAATAAATTATTCTTGGCTTATAATAAATGCAAACACATAACATATACTAGGAACAAAAATGTAGTACATGCGGACTTTTACTTAGGTGGTCACAAAATTGTATCAGAATTTAGTATACGTGATCTTGGAGTATATTTAGATACCAAACTCACACTAGATAGGCACGTCGAAGAAATATTGAATAAATCCTACCGAATGCTAGGCTTCGTTATACGTATAACAAAATCATTTAAACACAAAGATACTCTTACCTGCCTTTATCAATCATTGGTTAAATCTCATCTAGAATATGTGTCCCCAGTTTGGAATCCATTCTACTCAGTTTATGAAGATAAAATAGAAAAGGTCCAAAAGAAATTCTTACGTATTGTTAACTATCGAATGCATTCACCTCGCGTTTCCTATGAAAATCTCTTAACAAAATATCAAATGCTATCATTAAAAGACCGACGCACTTTAATCGACGCCACTACTTTTAGGAATATCTGTGTTGGTGATATTAAGTGTTCACAGTTATTATCCGAGGTAAGGTTTCGAATACCACCCAAAAACACACGATCAAAAAATTTATTTTATATACCAAAAACCAGGAACAATATTGGTAAAAGAGCACCAGTACACAGAATGTGTGTCCTCCACAATAAAATGCTTAACGACATCGATATGTTCTCTATCTCCCGTTCAGCTTTTAAAACTAAATTAAAAAGTACTCTTGTTACAATTATGAATTAGATATATAAGGATATTTAGTATTTAGTATTGTACATGTTAGATGATTGTTTTCAGGTGATTGTTTTCTTTTTATTTAAGTACAGACTTGTTACCCTGCTTGTTGTGCAGACGATACCAATTACGACCTGCTTCATAATATAAATATTATGTATGTTCTTAGTGAGACAGTTTGTAGGAAACAATTGTAATTACCATTGTCTTATTTTACTTGTATATTTTTCTTTCATATCTTTTGTTTCTGTTTTGTCTCCAATAAAGTAAATAAATAAATAAATAATAAATAAATACCGTATCCTTTCCAGTCCAGAAGCTTGAAAACGTCTTCTAATGCAGCGGTGAAGAGTTTCGGGGATATGACGTCACCCTGTCTTACACCCCTCTGCAATTGGATAGGTTTTGTACTCTGTCTCTGTACTCGGATAGCTATCGTAGCCCTACTGTACAAGCACTTCATCACTTCGATATACCGACAGTCACCTTGGCACCGCTAAAGGGACTGAGGTTGGAAGTCGTCAAGTCTGCGCGCTAGACGATTCGTAATGAATCTCGAAAACAGCACGTAGACGTGGCTCAGAAGGGAAATCGGTCTGTAGTTCTTCAAGAGAGCGTTGTCGCCTTTCTTGAAGAACAAGACCACCGCACTTCTGCTCCACGCCTCCGGTGTAATGACATCATGAAGGACGGAATTAAAGAGCTTCTGAAGGACTTCAAGTACCGGTTTTCCACATGCTTTTAGAAGCTCCGTTGTAATTCCATCCTCGCCTGGGTCCTTGCCGTTTTTAAAGTGTTGGAGAGCCATTCTAATCTCGCTCAGACTGACGTCCGGGATATCATCGGAATAATGTTGGATAAGACTAGCTCTTGGATCGTTACTTACACTTGCGTGTGGCTCCAACGATGACGTGTCCAGCTGCCCATAGAACCTCTCAATCTCACTCAAAATCTTAGGTGCCCCGGAAACTATGCTGCCACACTCGGTCTTCAGCTTTGACAGTTGGCTCTTTCTGGCAGACAGATCTCTGGCAAAGACTTTGGAGCCTTGGTTCCGCTCGATCCTATAATATGCCAGCGTAACTTGTCTATCACTTCTTTCAGCTCCACAATCTTCTCGTCAGTCCTCAGGGTGCGTGCATAGTATGTTGCCAGGTCGAATCGTCGTAGGTGGCAACCGAACCTCCACCGGAGATTTTTAGCACCCTCTGCCCCGCCGTTATCATGGTCGCCACCTTAGCCAGGAATAGCGGGGCCGCCGGGGACTGGGGGCCGTCTCTTAGTAACTTTATCCATTTGGGGGTAATTGCCATAGTTGCCACGCTTGGCGAGCGGTTTGGTAACCGCAGTTATTTTTATTGTATTTTTGCTGTTATCAGGAAGATGCTGCTGCCCATCTCCTGCCAGTTTCCCTTTGTCGCCTTTTACGATACCTACGGGAAGATATGGGGTAGTGGATATTCTTAACCGCCACTACACGGTATTTAGAGAATATGTCAAAAATTATGCTTGAATATTTAAATTAAGACTGCTAAAAATAAAATTATGTAGAGGAGTATGAGTGAAAGTGGTAAATATCGGAAATGAAACTAATAATTTTTTTTGCGTCTGACGATTTTAGAGAAACATATCTTTGATATTCTTATCTCGATCGAATGCTTCTCTCACTACCACCGAGTCAATACTCAAACAGAACGTTAATAACTGCAATTAATTGTATTTGTAATATACATAATGGTCCATAGTATTAAATAATAGTTTTTAGAGCGTGTACTCGCCGACAACCTTATATTGTAGTTTGCTGAGATAATTTCTATGACACCTAATATTGCTTGAATAAAAACTATACAACATCTTCAGATTACATAAAGTATTAAGCACAAGGTATTGTAAAATATTTTAAACAAACTGAATTCAAGAAAACAGCAGATTAACGAGGAATCAGGCAACCCATCTTGCTATTTTGACACTAGCATCAAATTAGTACATTGTACATTGGGCTAATTTTAGATCTATTTCTGTCCAGTCAACACAAGATTAAATTTTTGAAAAATAATTTCAGATGTAATTTTAAGCTGTATTGAAAAGATAAATTATTTCATAAAAATTAATTTTGTTTAACAAGGGGATGTTTAATGAGTGACGCTGGTGTTGAGCTTATTAAATATATTTTTAATGCCTGGAAAAATTCAGAAAACAAGGAAACGCGACTGATTTTGACACTATGTTTGTTTGGCAATAGTGGGCAAATTATAACTTAAATTATAGTGTCCGATAAAAATGAAAGAAAGAAATTATATATATATATATATAGGTGAACAACAATTAATTAAAAAATCTCAAATATTCTGTCCTTTTTATCATTTAAATTCAAAATGCGTGGTAATGCATTATTTTAAGGCAAAAACGTATTTGACCATAAATCACATTCAATTTGGGATAGTTTCAAATAATAGTCGTAGCCTTATTTACTCATATTTTCATAAACTGCAATAACGGTATATCACTATTTAGAACAAAGATATTCGTACTTAAAATATTGTAATCAAACATGAGCTTGTAATGTGAGTAACATTAGATATAATTGTATACAAAATTGTAAAATTTTATGATTTAAAAAAATAATCCCGCTGGGTTTCTTGCTAGTTTTTCTCCAGAAAAAGGTATTTTTTAAAATCATTGGTAATTAAAAACTTGGATTTCAGTAAATATTATGTAATAATCATGATCGAAAAATTTTCTATTCTAATCTATTCTATTCATAATATCAGTATTGTTATATACCGCACTAGCCCTTTCATTCTTTTGATACTACTGTAGATTAGCTCTTATGTTTCAGTAAAATGGCACAAGTCGCGGCACGTAAGTCTAGCGCTGAACGAAGCATGGAGAAACATAATATACAATATTTTATTATAAACAATATTAAAAACTACAATAAAAAACTAAAACTAGTAACTTAATTGTCATACAGTCCTTCTCCCCGCGGTATTGTGCCAAAAATGCTGGCTAAGTTTCCCCGCTGAATGGCTATACTAGCCTTTGAGCGAGAAAAGAACTAGCCCTCATATTGCCAGCAGTAACGACCAGTCGCGGATAGAGTTTCTTTAGGAACTTCACCATACGAAGACCCCACAAACCAATAGTTTCTGCAGCAAATAGCATAAATATTTAGTCATCTCTCAGAGACTCATATTTGTGCCACTTACTCAGATCAGCTGTCTCTGATGTCGCCCCGGCTCTAAACAAGGTACCCCGCCAAAGTGTCTACAAAAGTACCATTCCACACTAGGGCTTTACCTCTCTCCCAAAGGACCAATGTCATACCGTCGGGTCTCTTGCCATCATCTCTAAATATTCCACAAGGCTCTAAAATCGAGGGAACATTTATAGAGACAAAGTAACTCTTCGGATAATATCGTTTAAAGAACCGTGCCGGGAAAAAAAGTAAATTAGGGAATTATGAATTATTGTTGATATACATAATTTCATTTTACATTATATAATTTAAATACAATAATTATTGTACTAATTTACCATTCTATGTACAAGGGTTAACATAATATATTAAATCACAACCTTAATACCTTTACTAAAAATCTATATTTCGTCCATAGACTTTTCTACACAAGTGTAGCGTAAGAACTTAATTGAATAGTAAACAAGATTGTGCTACCTATTCGTATTGTTGTCTCAATTTGATTAGCAGCTACACGCCAAAGACTGCTTGTACCAGTTGTTGTTCGACGGAACTTGACTATTGTCTTTACACAAAACATTGAACAAGTAAATTCATAAATGGGATCAACGTTGTTTGTTGACTATTTTGTATCGTTTTCTGTAGTTTTCTAAAAATCTTTTTAAATCTCTTTATTTTCTCTTTGACACATTCTTTGGAAGATTAAAAATTAAAAAATTATTAGTTTATTAAAAAAGTTTTATGTGATATTTCATTTCAATAAAATATTTCTATCGAAAAAAAATGAATGGTGCCATCAAATTTATATTTTTATTTCTGTTAGGAGTTATTTCAGCAACTATTTACGAAAACAGTAAAGTTGATGTCGAAGAATCCTCTAAAATTCTTTCAAGAAGAAAGCGATTCATTGTGTTTCCCGATGGAAGCTCCTTCCAGTTGGGTAGGCAAAAATAAATGCAATATAAAATAAAAATTGCAATTTTAGTAACTTAAATTTTTCCTTAAAGTATCAAATTATCACATTTCGACTTCCTTATTTTAGTTCACTTTTATTTAATTTCTAACAAATAATATAAATCACGTAATTGTGACAGGCAATTTAGCCTGTATTTTAAGATGATTTTGTGTAAAATAAAAAAGAAAATAAGAACCTAAAAAGAGGGACAAATTGTATTTTATTTCAAATAATTAGATTCATATTTATTTTGTATGAAATACGATTTCAAATTACAAAGTCACATTTCTAATAACCTATTTTCGTTTCTTTTCTTTTCTTGTAATACGTAATTGTTTCAGTGTTCTGTGCTCAAAATCAGGGTTATCTACAAGTTGGAGATGTTGTGTGGTTTGGTAATACAGCGGCTTTAGCCTGGCAACTTCCGTCGGATCCGCAATCATTTTATTTGTTCAAGGATCATGATAAACTTCATGAAGCTCAGAGAAGAAATGGAATAACAAAAACTATATACTTTTTGGATGAAAATGGAAAAGTTCTCACTAAAATGCCATATCGCAAGTAAGTGTATAAAAATTATCATTCCCTTTTAAAACCTTTAACTAACCGACTTCAAAAAGTAAAAGTGTCTCAATTCGAGTGTATGTTACGATATCTTCGCAGATTGTGAGCCGATTTTGATGATTCTTTTTTTTATTAAATAAGATATTCTTCAAGGGTGGTCAGTCCCACATACATTTGGAGAAAAAATTCTACCGTTAAGGATAACAAATAAATAACTTCTTTTATAGCAATTTGAAGTCGGTTTTTACTTTTTGTTAAGTTATAATTATATTTATATCAAGTCGTAAAAATTTCATTGAAAGATAGCCTCTTTCATAGAATAGAAGATCTGCCATTATAGCGAGGCTTGGCAGGCGGATTGTAAATAGTCTCAACAAATATGATGGTTTAACGCTGTTCCCTGTCATCGGTGTAAATATGCCGGATATAAAGATATCTGGCATATTTTACAAAGCATGGACGATAGAGATTTATCAATTATCAGGCTTTCTCTTAGTCGTTCTTTTAACTTCCTGTACATAAGCTGATGTTTAGATTTTTGGCGTCACAAAAGAACGTGGTTTTTTCTTGACTCATTTATAAACAGAGCCAGTGCCTTAACTTTAAACTCTAAGTTCAGCCCTTTTAAAAATATTCGTGGGATAAAATAATACATAATGTTTGTTTTTGTCGCGTTCTGTTCCGATCCTCATTCTTGACTTGCGAACCAAACTAAATGTCACCAAAATGTTACGTACTTTGATACTGAAATTATAGATTGGCAAGTTTTAATAAAAAACCAATGATTTATTCGTTTTGAAAGGAAACCAGATTTGTACAGTGAAGTGGCGGTGTAAGAATATCCACTACGTTAATGGCGAAGGAGGGAAAATATCCAGGAGATGGGTAGCAGCGGCTTCCTAATAACGACTATTAACAAAATAAAACTTTTACTTGATGGTATTAAATACAATCAATAAGTTTTAGTATTTATATTTTATACTAGTATTTTCATTATTCATATTTGAAATTTATTTTCTTTATCTATTTTTATTGTATGTGACTGGCATTGTTCGCTTATTGTAAACTTTATGAAAAGCACAATATAAGATATTAAACTAATAAGTAAATATTCGTGTTAAAACCAATTTTTCAATGGTGAGATAAAATTCATAATAAACAATAAAATCAAATTAAAAATTACGGTTGTATGAAAAAGTGGGTAGTTCAATTGTTTCAATTTTATTATTCAGTCAGATTTTAAATTATTTCACAGGTAACTTATATCTGTTCATTAAAAAAATCAGCCGATTTTTCAATCCTGAGATAAAATTTATTCATACAATAAACACAACATGAAAAAATTTAAAGTTAAAGTTGTATAAATAAAATGCTTCAATTGTTCTTACTCTTATATTAATTCTGATTATAACTTATTTGACGGGTAACTTTTATCCGACGGTTGAAAAATCAACCCTAAATATCATAAACCTGTCTGCTTTTGATTCAAAAGAGTTTGATATAATGCCTACGCTTTATATCTTTAACATTGGCTATTTCCAATGATTAGAACTTATTAAATACGTTAATTTAGATATGAACAATTTTAAGAATGTTTAAGATTGACTTCGCTCATCATTCACAGAAGTGATGGATTGATCAACACGGAATACATAATTATCCCCAGCTTATTTACGTCTAACATCCAAGTTGTTGGGTTTTCCAAAAATTTGTGAGCAGGTATGCGGTTTATCGTGAATTCTTTACACGTGGTAGAGCCATGCTGCAGCTACATTAGTAGTATAGTTGTAGCACGAATGGGTCGGCTCGTTCGGGGAAGGACCACGCTCTCACAGAATATCAACGTAAAATAGCAGCTTAAAACTGCTGTATTTCGTATGGTGAGTGTAGAGAACCGGAGACCCTTTTTACTGGAAAAGAGGCATTCCATCTTAGTCCTCACGGGTGACAACGCATCTGCATTTTGATTCGCAAACGAGGATAGATGTAGATGTCTATGGGGTACAGGAACCAATTACCATCAGGTGGACTGTGTGCTCGTTTGTCACCCTATCCTATAAAAAAAGTGAGGGTAGACACCAAACTGTCGCACTAGCTCAATCCGTGAGTTTTGGATTCGTCATTTTTGGATTTCACAGCGTGCAGTTAATGTTTAGAGAAAAGAACTAATAACATATTTCCTCACAGGACAAAGTAAAGCGAGAACGTATGCCGTGGCGTGCAGCGTGATGATGAGAAAGAAATCGAGCGGCCGTCACTTGGAATATTATTGTTTCTTTCTTCGTCTTCTTCTTCTTCAGTAGCCATAATAGATCACTGCTGGTCATAGATCTCGCCTATCGCCACGCTTGGCAAGTGGATTGTCAATTACAGTACTATACGTCTCTCATCTTTGATCCTGCATCCAATCCAATGTAATAGGATGTTTATACCATCTTTCGGACGACATGGGACCTTTTAGCATTTCTCATAGACCACGGCCCCAATATAACTCACAGAATACTGTTTTTTATGTTGTGCACGAAGTACATTATATTACAGTATTCGGGCGTGTTGTATTAAAGTATTACTAGCGATCTGCGCCGGCTTCGCACAGTTGATTTCTGTATCTACACAACAACGCCACCTACCGGGTCCAATTGTGAATGTAAACCATTCTCAATTCTCAATTTTCTACAGCAACCATTTACCATTAGATGGACTGATGCTCGTTTGTCACCCTTTTCCTATAAAAAAATCTCTAATCAAATCCTAACCCAAACACAAAATTATATCAAAATCGACCTAACCGTTTAGGAGGAGTTCAGTTATACATACGGACAGAAGAATTATATAATATATAATATGCATGTATTATACATATAAACCTTTCGCTTAAATTATTCTGTTTATTGATGAAAACAACGTCAAAATCCGTTGCGTAATTTAAAGTTCTAATCGTTTAGACAGTGGGAACCGACTTTGTTTTGTACTATGGAGATATACTATGTAAATATTATAGGAGCGGGTTTTCAATTTCACTCACTTTCCCTTACACCCACAACATAGTTTTATTTATTAATAATTTGTTATTTTACAGGAGACCTATAATCAATCCAGCATTTGCTAAGCGAAGCATAGATGGACAAATTCAGAATAAAAGAAATCTGACACAGGCAATCAAGCAATTACATGATGCGCAATTAAAAAATGATTTTCTGGAAAGTTTAGATAAAGACAGCATAACATTTCATAGAGAAGGACGAAAAAGCTTTTACGCTAAATTCGAAAAGTTTTTACATGGGTAATTAATTATTATTCTACTTTATTTAATGATAAGAAACTGTGTGTAGTTGTTAATTCATATTGTTAATTGTTGGTGGAAGACTATTATTGGAACGAAGTTCCTTATCGCATGGTACGAATTCGGCGAATGGGGGATAGGCGAGAAAAAGTGCAAGATTTTTCCGTCACGAGCCTTTCTATAGTGCGAGCGAGATGGAATAATATCGATCCCCCTCGCACTTATTCTTATCATGCCATGAAAGAAATATTATTTATTTTAAATGACGCTTCATTTTTATGGACGCTAGTAATTCATTTATTTGTATTTGTTAATCAATAATATAATAAGATAATTCATAATAATATACTACGAAAGGCACTTCGTTCTAACCCAGTGTTCTACGACACTCACACATGTTTTTGTTATTATTAAAATATTCATTCCATTGTAACACATTATGAATTTATTAGATACTAATCTGTACCAGCTAATGAAAGTTTAGTTTTAGTTTTACCATCGTAAAATTTTAATGAAGGGAGAGTGAAACAATTAATAGGCATGGTAAATTTTATGTCTCCGAAACTTACGATGAAGTTTTTTCATCAATCAGTTTCCAAACCAATCGGACAAGTCATCTTATTTATATCGATACATATGATTATGTTAATAATCAAAATGCTTAAAATTTTCTATTGATTGGTACGTTTTATAAGAAAAATTCAACTGCCTACTCATCATTACTAAACAAAAGATTTTGTTAGTTCTTCAAATTATCTGGTTATTATAAAAATATCTTACTTGTTAATATTGAATAACGTTCATATTTTCAATTCAATAGTTTCATATACATTATAAAATAATCAATTAAAAAAAGTTAATAAAATGCAATGAAAAATTATCTTCACAAATACCAAAAATTTATAGCGATGCAGCTATTTATCGTAAAGACTTATTCTTATATTTAATTTATTTTAATTTAAGGTAAACTAACACCTATGTCACAGATAAATATAATTTTATTAATATAATTAAAATTAATATTTTCATTGATTTAGACAGGCACGCAGTTTACCTGATGGTAAACGGATGTTGTCCGTATACAGCTACATCTATCCTCGTTAATAACCAAAATATAGACGAGTCACCTTTGAAAACTAAGATGGAATGCCTTGTTACCATTAAAAGGACTCTACACTCAAAATATGAAACACAATAATATTAAGCTCCTATTTTACACTGATATTCTGTGAGAGGATTGCTCTTCCCCGGTAGAGCCGATTTATTCGTGCTATAATAAAATAATAATGGTTATCCATTTTACAGTTGCAACATATATACCTCTTTAACATTAATTTACTCACTCGCTCACTCACTCTATTATTTGGAATACTGTCTATTCAGTTCCTACGTCACTCCCGCCAGGAAATGTTCATAGGTATTAATGAACTTCAAAGCTCAAGTCGCTGCTACTTTAAAATATTTTCCTTTTAAAAGAGTGTGCGCGATCCCATGAAACGCCCACGAGTCACTAACAATATAAAATGCTGAAATATTTTTGTAAACAAATTTAAGATTATTAAAAGTATTGTACGAACTGTAAACGTAAAACTTTAGTATCCAATATAGTTATTTTCATAACCTCCATTTTTCAACTTTTAGAATGGGTTGGCGTGGCCGAGAATGCCTCCTACGCATGCTTTGTGAGACAGGTCGAGGTAAAACTGAACAAGGCACGTTCCTTCAGGAAATCATGAGGGCTACGCTTACGTGAGTGTTTTTATTAGTAGTGTTTTACACTGTATGTCTCTGTCTTTTGTTTGTATTGAATAAGCTATTTTAGGCCTTAACAGAAATGCGTTAGGTTTATAACCAGGAACCAGCTACAGATTGGTTCAGTAATATTCGACTTGTATCCCTCGTAAAAAACGTAATTTCAGTTTCGTGTATTTCGTATAGTTTTTATGATTATTTTCGACAATTATGTCAAAAAGAAAACTGACTCCTCTGGTTTTGGCTATATTTTCTTTTACGGTTACGTTCTTATCTCATATGTAATAAATTTTATCTGTTTTCAAAGAATTTAACCTTATGTTATTACAGTTCACTTATACAGTTTGACTGCCTGAGCTAGCTTTTGTTCTGTTAAATTATTAAGGTTAATTATATAAAAAGTAATAAGAATAATAAGTTTGTTTTATAATTTATTTATTAATACTTAAGGGGAAACCTTTGAGCGTGATTTCGCATAGTTAAAGTTAAAATTTTTAATAGTTCTCAGGTCTTTACCACATAATTTACTACAAGGTTGTCTGTGGTCCAGCTAGCAGCGGAGTGGGAAACGGGAGTATCCACACGGTGTTGTTCCAATCGCAACGATGAACAAGATTTAAGTTGTTTACTTGATTTTGTTGGGGTTTCGATGTAATGTTCTTATCACCATATCTTTGTCGAAAATATCTGTAACGTAATTTATGTTTTACTTCTGATATAGCTATAACGGATGAATGAGAAAGAAATACATAAAATTTGGAGAGAAATATTTAGGAAGAGAACAATATTTACGGGGTGCTAGTACCCCTTTTTTGTCTAGGACTCAGTTTGTGTTTTTCAAACTCTTTCTTGTTTCTGCCACGAAATAGTCATGCACTCACTGTTTTGTTTTGGTATGAAGGGTAAGACAGCTAGAATATCATATCATAATTGATAATAAAGTTGACGTTATTTCACGATCGGAAGTTCGTAGTCTCTGCCTACCTCTCTAGGTGACAGGCGTGAGTGTTCATGTTATGTATATTGTACTAAAAAATAAAAAAAAATAGTTTCAAAAATTAAAGAATAAATCCTATAAATAACAAATAAAATACGACATGTTCAAATTAAAAATTACAATTGTATCAATAACAAATTTAAATTTGTTTTACTTTGAAGCATAATGAATCAGATTATAACTTATTTGAGGGGTAACTTTTATCTTACGCTTGAAATATCAGGCCTTGATAAGTCTTGCTTTGTTAGGAAGAATACATAACTTATATAATTTAATATAATTCTTGATGTTTTAGAAATGTTATTGAGTACTAACAAAAACGACTTATTTTCAGGTTACCGCAAGGAAAAAAATTTGATACGGAATACTACAATGAATACGACAAAGCCCATTTTAGTGACGGCGACTGTGAAACACTCTACCCACAATGTGATAAATTGTATTAAAGTAAATGTTAAGAAAAATAAAACTCTTGTCAGTGATAAATAAAAAATATTTTTGAAATATTTTATTCTCAATTCTGATATTGCGCAATCTCTGTTCTCACTCACTCTTACAGTCCGGTGTGACTACAATCCGACACGACCGGAAAAGAGAGGTCAGGCACAGAAGCATCGGATTTATGTATTCTGAGATACGGGGGTAAAACACCACCAACTTCGATGTGAGAATTAAAGTTTACTTGCTGAAACGTGATTTTAAACTTGGTATATAATTATTATAGTAAAGAAAAAAATTATTTATTTTAAAGAACATATCTTATTTGGTCTTGATAAAGCAAAGTAATTTTCAAACTTAATTTGTAGATATAATAAGAAAAATATATTTTTCATTGAGTCTTCCACAATGAGAATTTCTTATGTAAATTGTTTGAGTGAAAAGCGTGGAATGTTACAAACGGAACTATTTCAGAGAAATTTGCAGAGAATTCGCTTTTATAATTAAACTGAATGGAATTTTATTATTATAAATTTGTATAAAATCAGGTAGAGTTAAGCAAGTTTTGAAGAGGAATTAAAATAGTTCTAAGTTCATTTATCAGTACAAAAAGAATAAATTTGGTTTTTGTCTGTTACTCTGACCAATAAAGAAAGACGGATTGCCGTGTACATTTGAAATTACGCCTAAACCATGTTTAATTCCTTAATACGCCCTTAAAGAAAGTTCACTGCTTGGTGCACACATATGTACCTAATAACACTTTTTCATTTGTTGAATTCAAATAATTTTAGATGCATATGTAAACGTGAGTGCGTGTTCTTACAGTAAGCTAAGCTGCTTGATTTTGGCGTGACTTGGAATGTACACAGCGCTACATCTATTTTTTTGTTGATTTAAGTTTTGGCATAACAAAGTAGTGTATATTTACGGGTATAGGATTACATCAAAGTATTGATGTTTTCAATTACATTTTCTGAATGTTCCCGATCAAACGGTTGACAGTACTTACGACCAAAGAGTTATAGTAATGTCCGAAGACCAACATTATCGAGCGGGTTTCACAGATCACAGAGTATTGAAATTCGAAACGATCGACCTGAATGACCCGGTTCGTAAGACGAATCAATACTTGAATGATTGGGTCACTATAAAACAATAAATTACACATGTCTACGCATTCCAATCATTTTTTTCGTGAGGCAGCTACTTATGCAGCCCCACCCCCCTCTCGCTATTGAGTCCGCAGGCTGAGAAACTCCCTCTCGGACCCGCCTATTTAAACTTTATTTTAACTTTCAACCGACCTGAACTGCCTCCTGGCGGCTCAGGCCAACTCATAATAAATTTGCCTTAGTAGGCTCTCCCTCAGCGGCTCGTAGCCGCCTGCGCCCTCTTCTCCAAAAAGAGGGTCGCTTCCGATCCGGCATAAAAGGTTAATCAGCCTATTGCCAGTCCCACAGGTAGTTTTTAGTGGGTAGCACCTAGGTTCCCCTTTAGGTTAGACACAGTGAGTCCCACATAAGCACGACAGACCGGCTGTCGTGGTATGCATAAAGCATTTACCGCCTCCCCGCGTAATGGGGTAGCCATTTTTCCAATTGCTTCTGTGCGCAAAAAAAAATGTCTACGTTTAAGCATTATAGCAATATTATAACGACAAAAGAGCAAACATTCTTCCTATCGGGAGGTGATACTGCTGCTTACGGACTTGCATGCGACTTCAAACTTAGAAGACTGTAGGTGCATTAACACTTCCGGAATAAGGAGCAATGCCTCCCAACCTACTGTAGACTCCTTGTAAGCCTAAGCAGAACAGTAGATGCACTGCTGCGTACCAGTTTACCCAGGTTACATAGTCAAATTACAAAAAAAAAATTGAAAAAGTAGTCTGTGTATAAAAGTTGGTTAAAGGAGTTGCTTCTAGTACAAATAGAACAGAATAGATTATAAACACGTTTATTCCCGTTTCGGTATACATCTCAAATGAAAAATTATAAATAATAAGTAAAATAAAACAAATCTTAACCACATCTTAAAACTTATGTAATTATAATCTTTTTTATGGAATTAGGGTGACAAAGGAGCACACAATCTACCTGATGGTAAGTGGATGATGGAATCCATAGACATCTATATTTATCCTCAATTAAAAAATAAAATGTAGATGCATTGTCAACCCTGTGAAATGAAATGGAATGCCTCGTTTCCAGTAAAAGGGTTCTCCAGCTCTCTACACTGACCATACAAAACCGTGTGAGAGCGTGCTCCGACAACGGTCGAGCAGATTCATTCGTGCTACAACCATAATATACGTCAATGGCGATGCTCTAGAATATTACTTGTACTTTATTCAATTTTAAACGATCCAAGGTCGCCTTCTTATCTTAAGGATAGCTTTCATTTTCTTCATTCGATTGACGGTCGAATACCAGGACAATCAAACCGTCTGAGGATAAGGTTTCCACAGCATAGGTCTAATTTTTTCAGGTCCTCGTTTACGACACAAGCTATCAATCTTTGGAACACCCTCCCCTATGATATTAAGAATGCTACAAATAGAAACTCATTTAAATTACTTCTACGACAACATTACCTGAGGGCACTTACTAAGTGACATTTTTTTTCTTCAAATATTTATTTATTTATATATTAATACGTATATTTATATAGTTTATAAGCATATATACACATTACATATATGACTTATGATTGATTAAAATATGATTCACATATATAAATATATGTTATATATATTTAAATATGTAGTGTATGTGTGTACTATGTATGTATTATATTTTAATATAATATATACATAGTATATATTTTATTTTTACACACTTTATTTATATATTATGTTCCGCACCTGCCTACAATTGACTTTGGCCCGCAAGGTTGACTGGCAGAGAATACCATATGGCATTAAGTCCGCCCTATGTACCCTTTACCTTAAGGTGTTACATTTAAGTTTTTAAATAAATAATATAGCTGAAACATGGCTCTACCACGTATAAAAGCAAATTGTGCTGCGACATGAAACTGACGAGGTAGATCAGCCTCGGTGTCGGTATTCGTTTTCAGTGGTGCCCGTATCCCGAGGTAGATGCCAACATTTCCATTATTCTGGCACCGGGTAGGAGTTTGTTGTTCTTGATCTGTGTCTCTGGTCATCGCAGTTTATTCTATATTGTTGCAAGATGTTATAGAACACGGATAGATTAAAATGATATATGCAGTGGTAATATATGTAAATTATAACTTTCAGAATATTTAAGGGATGTACTATGCCAGAGAGAACATCATTACACCATCACTTCATTTTAAAGCTAAATTTAAGATTTTGATAAACAGAATATAAAGTAGCCGTGCCGTGTAGTTGTGGTGTAAGAATATCCATTACGTACCACATATCATCCCGTGTCGTCAGAGGGAATCGAATCAGGAGATGGGCAGCAGCGTTTTCCTAATAACAATAAAAAATAAAAAAACTGCGGTTGCCAACCTGCTCATCAAGCGTGCCAACTATGACAAATATCCCCCTATGAAGCAATCTATGTTCAACAGTGGACTTTAATACGCTGTAACGATAACGGTAATATAAAGTAAAAGTACATGGATCGACACTTCTTTTATCCTTGCTGAGACTTAGAAGCAGAGAAAGAACTACCACGCTGATGAAATGCGTGGTAGTAGATATCTTCTTTTGATAGATTAATTTCTCAAATACACAGGTTTCTACACTAACTATTCATTCAAAGTCTAGCATAAAATGTGTTAAACAATTTCGATGTGTGGGCGGGTATTGAACTCAGGTATCCCGCGTACTAATTAATTCAATACACAGCTTTACTGGGTTATTTTGGTATAGCTAGAATATAATATATTTAAACAAAATTATCTACTTCTCATAATATATGTTACCACAGTTGGCTAGGAGCGTGGCAACCAAAGGAAAAGAAAGGTTTGAATGGATTTCTACTGGAAATCGCAGCGTTGGTCGACCTTCATTAGTAGGAGTGATACCCTGATTAAATCCAGTTAGCCGATGGATGTAGATGGCTCAGTACAGCATTTTCTGGGAATTTATATGGAAGACGAAGGAGGATATTCAGCACTGGACTTGTAATAGGCTGTAATGATGTCGATGATATGAATACCGCAGCTATATTAGTAGTATAGTTGTAGCACGAATGGGTCGACTCGACCGGGGAAGGACCACGCTCTCACAGAATACCAGCGTAAAATGGCAGTTTGACACTGCTGTGTTTCGTATGGTGAGCGTAGAGAACCGGAGACACATTTTACTGGAAAAGAGGCATTCCATCTTAGTCCTCACGGGTGACGACGCATCTGCATTTTGATTCTTTATTGAGGATAATGTATATATAATGTCTATGGACCACAGCAGCCACTTACTGTCGGGTGGACTGTGTGTTCGTTTGTCACCCTATCCTATAAAAAATTAAATTATTGCAGTTTTTACAAAATTTTATTCGTAGTCTATCAAATCCAGGCTTTGAAATTCTTGTCAGATTTACCGCAATATCAAATGTTTTAAGCTTTAGGTCCCGTTGTCCATTTTCAATTCTGGGTATTTCTCTTTCATTGTATAATATATTAAAGGCCAACAAATGACATTGTTCAAATTTAATAAACTTTTCGACATGTACATTTATTCTTTGTTCAAATTGATTGTTTAATTTTTGGAATATTTTTACGGTTCTCTAGATTTTAATTTAAATCTGGTATTATTAACGCGTTATTTCACTAAATTAAAAATTAAAGTTGAAATTTTTAAGACGAAACATTGAAGCTATATTGAAGGATGACTGAATAATATTTAAAATCTAATTTACATTGTCTTCCCATTAACAGTAAGTTTATTTCTCTCTGTGGAATTTATGTCTTAGCAAACTCTGATAAAATTGCGTTTAAATAAACTCTACGAGGTGTACTTTAGAGAACAGGCTGCAAAGATTGCTAAAGAAATTCCACGGAGGTGTGAAACGTGACTAAGCTAATGAGTGGAGACGGCAGTCGCTCTAATTCTTTGATCAAACATCCCGGGTCACTGAACAAGTCGCAGATGCTTCAATTCTCGGCGCGTTAAGTTAATATGGACATGTTATCTTATTTTAAAATACACGTTCTAAATTCTTAAAAAAGTATAAATATTAGAATTTCATTATTTTTCCAAGTTTAAGTAACTCGCTGTCTCATCTATTTTTATGGGCGGTAGAATTTTTTCCATAGATCTGAAACCAACCACTATCTATGAGCTAGAGACTTAAATTTTAAATATGGAACAGAATTGGATAACAATAAATTACAAATTCACTTTATATTTTTGGCCTCTGACTTTATATTTTTTGTCAGTTTTTCAAATATGGCAATCGATTTTAAACTAATTTCCCGTTAAGCTAGATAAGTATACATACAGAGACGTGGTGAAAGAGACGCCATTTTGAATTACCTTCAGTAAATCATAACTTATATATTTTTAAATTTACCCATAAAAGCTAAATATCGGCTTTGTCTATTTGGTACAATTTCGTAATCAACTTCAAGCTAGTTTCCCGATTATCTAGAGACACACATATGTAGTTTAAAAACATAACTTTTACTCTAAAATTTCGTCGTGGAGGCGTTTATAGGCATGAATAAACACCCGGGACAATTACTTTGATCCTATACAAATCTTACCAAAACTAAAGTCTTGTATAGGATCGAACCTGTGATACACAGCGACGCATCCTAACAATTACTTACTGTACTCCCGAGCTGTCAAACTTTTCATAAAGTGTATGAGAAATATAAAAGGGACCGTCCACACAATCTTTGATTAAATATCAAATAATAATAATAAACTACACGTTTCACGTGTTCGTCACGCGCTAATGTATGAACCGACACAATCTTTAAGAGAGACGTTCAGGAAATTGAATCCTAGCAATGTGCAAGACCATCGACGCGTAAATTTTTCTTGATTAAAATGTCCTATATGATTTTGTATTTAATGCTGTTTCTAACGGTAGTAATCGAGTGCCAGCTAAGGGAAAATTCTACTGATCAGTGCCCTAATGTGAAAACATCTTTAGGATCCATTAGAAAGCGGAGACATCTGACTTTTCCACATGGCAGCAACATTGTTGTGAGTACAAGAATGTTTTAATTTTGTGGTATATTAAAATAGAATGAAAAAAAAAATTAAATTGAAAAATGACGACAAGGAATTAAGGATAAATATTTAATTATAAACGTAATATTATTTGAGGTTATTTTAGTGGGATTAAAACATTTGATACATATTGAGAACATATTGATAGCGATAAAAGTTAAGGAGTACATTTTATTATATACAATTATTTCTGCTTTAAAATATATAATATATTTATATAGGCGCGATTAACTTAGATTACTTTTAAACCTCTATCTACCTTTCTTATAAAATTGACGTCAATTTAAGAAATGCTTCAAGTTGGATTCTCTTTTTTCACTAAATGCCAATAGAAAGAGACAGGTATACAGATAATAAATAATTTAAGTAACCGATAATCAACGAATGTAAAAGCCTTTCTCAAGACTACATATTAACTTTTATTTACAACATTGAGAAAAATTTATCATATTTCACATTTACATTCAGACACATTTACCACATTATGCAAGGACTGTAATTAAAACATTTATATTTTGAAAATCCATAGTTTTATTTAAATTTACAAATACTACGTAAAATATCAGCTTAATGCAAATGCTTTTTACAAAGAATTGGAGACACATTTTACTGCATAACATCTTACGTGTAGTTATTTTCTTTGTTTGTTAGTATGCTCGTTTATCACCCTTTGTATATAAAAAATACTGTTACTTTAAGATATACTAAAATATAAACCTATAAGTGGCTCAGTTGGACAGGATTTATTAATACGACGTTATCTAAATAACCATCAAAGATCATTTATTTTATCTTTTTTTTTGATTTCTCAGTAAAAATCTCCCAGTATATCTTTTTTTTTAAATAATATAATACATATCGTACTGCCATTCCAAAGATTAGACCGGACAGACAGACATACAAAAAAAATCAAAAATGGTCATTCATGCCTTGGAATGCAAACAACCCATTTATTTTGGTGTTACAGGCATTCAATTCAATGATCACAAATAAATTGATCACAAAAAAAAAATATATAATATACTTATGTGTATACGTGTATGTTGTGACAGTGCTGTATGTGTGTATATTTAGCGATATTTTTTATTATTTTTTATTTTTCTTATATGGTGTTATAATATGGGATTATCAACATGCTTACAACTGATATTAAAACAGTAACGATATGTATTACGCACACACGCACATAAGCATGCAAACACTTGCAAAGGTGTCTTGGCTTACGGGCTTGATGTATCTTGTTTGGTTTACAGCTTACGATCTCACTTGTAAAGGCCTTCATGACACATGCACCTTCAGGGTGGAACATTGCCTTAGAAATAGATGTGATGTACCCGCTACCGGATTCGAATTTCACCAATGCTTATTGGAGACGAAAACTGCACCATAGACAGAAAAGGGAATTCTGGGATAGGATACAGGCAGCTTTGGACTTGTAAGTTTTTTAATAATTCTCTCTTTATATTTACATCATTTTTTTAACCCGTAACAGACTACCACCACCACATAAACCACTCCTCGAAATTAAACAAGAGTGAATAGGTTTTTGTGAATTTAATTTAGTGCGCTTTACCATATTTGGTTACATCACAAATTACCAGCGGTTGGAATAGTATTCAAGCACAGATTTATAATAGTAGAAAATGGTATTATGGAATATTAAAAGGGATTTGCCACATATACCACGCTTCGTCGCTATTGGCGGACGCAGTTAAAGACGTCTAGCATAGCATAGCAAGATTTTTAAATATAACATTAAATATCAAAGTCATCTAAAGGTAAGTCTCCAACGATCCCCAAACACCTGCAACAACAACATAAGGAAATAAAAATAAAGTTACATCCTATATACGTGGGACGTATATAGGATGTACACATACAGGACACAGGCGTTCTATCATATCTGAAAGGGTTAAGTAGTGAATTGTTCGTAGTGCGGTCCAATGCGAATTTTATTTAGCGGCCTTTACCACGTCCTTGAAATCTTATCCCTCAGACATGCAACATAGATTACTCCATTACCATTGCTATTAAAGTATATCAAGACCCTTGGTTTATATAGGATAATAGTCACAGGCGATCACACAGTCTACCTGATGGTAAGTGGTTGCAGTGGCTCATAGACATCTACATCTATCCTCGTTTGCGAATAAAATGCAGATGCGTTGTCAGCCGTGAGGACGTATAAAACTACCGAACAAAGGTCTGTGCTAGAGATTATCTCATTGTCAAGACGGTTGGCAGTCGCAGTTTTTTGTCGCCGCAAAGAGTTGTTATCATGAAAATACTGGTGCCCATCTCCTACTTCATTTACCTCTGTCGGCTCATACACCCACGGGACGATCCCATCGCCACTACCCAGTCAACCAGGCTACTCAAGTACTGTGAAATTTATGGCGCTTAGCCTCTGTACTACTACAGTTCTTCAACAACTCTGTGAGGCCTAGATGGAATGCAAAACTTTCACTTCAGATCACAATACAGTAGTGTGTGTACTGCTGCAAGAATTCAACATAGGTAAGGTGATAGAATAAAACTAAATGAAAAGGTTCTTCCATTTATTAAAAAGAAGTCAAATAATCTACTAAATATTATTTATTATTTTCAGACACAATCTAAATGGGCGCGCTTGTGTCTTGAGAAGCATTTGCGAGGCTAAAACGTACCTCGCACTACCTGGAAAATCTTTGGTACATGACATTTTAAGAGCTATTCTTACGTAAGTATACCTTTCTATAACAATCACGATTTATAAGAAGCTTCTGGTATTTTATCTATAAAATTTCGAATGGAAAAATTTTATGTCTAAAGGGGTACAGCCCACGCTTACATAAAAACAACGCGCTGTTAATAATAAACCCTACAACGCAACGGTCCATACTTTCATATAGTAAAAAAAATCCACCAAAAACATAAATGTGAAACGGTTCAATGTAAACGACGTTAGGGGTTGATACGGGATCGGGCATCAGCAGTTGCTTTAATTATGAGGTCTCATAATGGGAATGTACAACGTTCTTCTTATATAAGTGGTCCTTGTTATACATACAAAATTACAAGTGTGTGGGTGTAACAGTATTTGGGTTATGCGGGTTTTGAAAATGGAAATGGTTTGTGTAAATATACACACTGCTGTTGCGTCATCCTTTTCTTTTCTGAACTTGCTTGATACACTGCCGTATGTCTAAAAGAAGCAGCACTTTATTTACGTCCCACTGCTGGGCACAGGCCTCCTTAAGCCATGTACGGACTAAGCGTTGCAATGTACGCGTAGTCGGTTACGCGTACACAGGAACGCTAGTCTATAGCGAGTCGCCTCCAGTGTGCTTTGTGTGAACAGCAATGCATAAAGGTGCCCTGTACGCGTATCCACTATCCTCCTGTACGCGTATCCACTATCCTCCTGTACGCGTATTCTATATACTTATATTACGCGTACATTGGAATGCTTAGTCCATACAAGGCATTACACTTCTGAGAGTGTTTTAGGACAAGGAAGTGTAAGTCACGCTGTCCAATGCGTGTTGGCAGGCTTCACGTCTTCGAAATATATTTTTTTCTCAGACATCCAGGTTTTTTCACGACGGTTTTCTTCACCGCTGACCACGCAGTAAATCTTGTGTCTCAATTTCATTAAAATCGCAGTTGATAACAAGCAAAATGAATCGAAGGAATTATCAATGAAAATCGATCCAAACCCCCAATATTCCTAAAGTAACTTTTAGTGGGTTGTTGTTTTGAGCGCCTAGTTTCATTAAGGGTCGATTTTAAATCGTCTGAAAAAAGTTATCCATCAAATAAATTATAACATGACTAAATTTAAAAGTGAAACAATTGATTTCTTATATTTACTTTTATTGTAATTATTTACCAAAAATTAATATTAAAGAACTGAAGGTAGCCGGGCTAACTATGACAGCAGGACGTCAAACACCTCAGTCCCCCGTGACCACGGGTGCTGGAAAGCACCCGAAACGTCGGGAATATAAAAATAGGTTAATATACGCGATAAAATCCGTAAAATTAGTTTTATTTAAAAATGAAACAATTGAACTATTTGTTCATTTAATTGTGGTTTTTAATTTGTTTGTATTATGTTTTATCCTTTATACAACTTTTAACTGAGGACTGAAAAATCGGCCCTTAATGAAACTAATTTTTTTGATTTTACTAAGCATAATTCTAACATAATAATAATTTAAAGGTGATGTAAGCTTATTTTTAATATTCCTAAAATCGTTTTTCTAACTTTGATCTTTGTGTTGGAAAATATTTAAAAAATAGACCGTCATAGAGAACTTGCTGTTGTTATTAAAGAGGTGTTGTGATCATATTATATTAATAACAACTTGATCCTCTTACTGTGAACACCTAATAGCTTGTGTACAGAAAGGTTTAGTAAAACATTGTTTGTAATTATCGATAAAGGGTAAATGTTTTTTTTTATAAATATTGTCGAAAGTTTTGATTTCATAAGTCTAGAGAATAATATAACGTACGTGTAACGTATATACAACAATACACTTAGAATAACTTCTTGCAAAATGTGGTAATGGTTTCTTAAATGTATTATTTTTATAGAAGCCTACAGTTTAGTTTTTACCCAAAGGTAAGTGGATACCGTGACCAATAGACTACTACATCTATTATGGATTTAGAACCAGAATATTGACGCTTTATCACCCCTGAATATGAAATGCCTCGTTACGAGTTAAAAGGACTCCAATTTTTTTACTTCTCGGGAAGAGCAGATCAAAGATGTGTGGGGTATCGACGCAGAACGTTGCACGTCTACGTTACGCTCCACCCGTTACACGCACGTCAGTCAGTTAAGTTCAGTTCATTGTGTCAATCAGTAACAGGTAAATTAAACCTGATAAGCACTCTGAAGTCGGTGCTAAGTTCAGTAGTTACTTCGTATTAATTTAGAAAAACCACATTTTAAACTTTTTTTATAGGATAGGGTGACAAACGAGCACACAGTCCACCTGATGGTAAGTGGTTACTGTGACCCATAGACATCTACATCTATCCCCAATAGAAGACATTTGGTCTCAAATTTACGCCTTACATACTGACCGCATCGAGAACATTCAAAAAAGATTCTTGAGATGTCTCTCTTTTCGTCATTGTTACCATCGCAAGTAGGCCTCCTACACAGATATGGCTGCAGATATTTAACATGGTTACGCTAGAAACGAGACGCATAAGGTTCGGGCTTATATATCTATATAAAATAGTAGATTACGATTGCTTCTCCGTCCTTGCTTGCGTCGATTAACATAAACACTCACTACAGGGCCCGTGACCACAAGCCTAAACTGTTTTCACTCCAAGTGTACCGTAACCACACATCATATTACAAACCAGTGGTTAGGATGTGTCGCCTCTACAATGATATATGCCAGGACCATCCAAATATTGATATTCTAGGTTCAACTCCAAATGTCTTCAATAGATCTATCCGTGATATTTTGAAATAACTGAAATAATTGGTCTCATCTATATACTTATATACTTTTGTTCTAGCTTGTAACAGGCCTCCTTGTAGTCTGCTGGATGGTTGATTGCAAAGCCACTGTTTTTTAAATGTTTTATAACTTAAGCAGATGTAACTCTTTATAATTTACTTTTAAGAAAATTTTATCTTCACAACTGTAAACTGTATTGTGTTAATAAATTTAAAAGACTCAAGATGCAGATGCGTTGTCACCCGTGTGGACTAAGATGGAATGCCTCTTTGCCAGTAAAAAGGGTCTCCAGTTTTCTACACTCACCATACGAAACACAACAGCGTTAAGCTGCTATCTTACGCTGGTTTTCCGTGAGCGCGCACCCATTCGTGCTACAGCCATAATATAGCTGCAGCATGGCTCTACCACGTATAAAACTATAGCTCTTATAGGTATGAAACTTGGCCAGAATATTTTATTATATGTGTTTGGAGGTCCCGTGTGGTGGCTGGTAAGATTAACCACTACCCCATGTCTTCCTGTGATTATCCTAAGAGGCGACAGAGGGCAACTGGGGTAGAAGATGGACTCTCGAACTCGCCAACTCATTCGCCAAGCGTGGCAACTATGGTAATATACCACCCCCATGATAAAAGTTACGAAGAGATGGTTCCCAGTCCCCGGCGGCCCCGCTATTACTGGCCACGGCGTCGACCATTGTAACAGCGCGGCAGTGGGTACTACGAATCTCCGGTGGAGGTTCGGTTGCCACCTAAGACGACTCGACATATAACGCATGAACCCTGAGGACTGACGAGAAGATTCTGGAGCTGGAATAAGAGATGGACAAGTTGCGCTGGAATATTTTAGGATTATTCGAGGTCCGACGAGAGGAGGAGGACACGATAATCCTTGAATCCTGCAACTTGTTCTATTACCGGAAGGGCGACCATCTGTCTCAAGGAGGTGTCAGATTTATCGTCCACAAGTCTCTCGTTAAGAGAATTGTAAAGATTGGGAGTGTATTGACAGGGGTTGCGTACCTTATACTCAGAAACAGCAAACGGTATTCAAAGAAGGTCATACAGGTTTACGCACAAACCTCAGCATATACCGATGATGAAGTGGAGGAAATGTATGAGGATATATCTAGAGCCATGCATTTTTCCAAAACCCACTATACGGTGTTAATGGGATACTTCAACACATAAAACTAGGCACAAGAGAGAGCGGTGATCTTAAGGTAGGGAAATTTGGAATAGGGCAACGGAACCCAAGGGGCCAGCAGCTGGCCGACTTTATTGAGAAAGAGGGACTCTTTATGAGGAATTGTTTCTTCCAGAAGCGGCCCCACAGGATGTGGACCTGGACGAGCCCCGACAGTTCGACAAAAAATGAGATTGAATTCATAATGGCGACCAGACGACAACTGTTCAGTGATGTCTCAGTGAAGGGTGAAAACAGTCAGCGATCACTGAATGGTTAGAGGCACACTGAAACTAAACGTTAAGTTGAAGAGGTTACGTCTAATGAAGTCAACCCTCCGTCCCCCTTGTGCTCTAAGTCAAAGTCCCGAAAACATTCAGCTTATGTAACATAATTGTTTTAAGTGTCTAGAAGATTGCAAAGCAGTGGACTATATGAATGACAAGCTCGTGGAAACTGTTCATACGATCGAAGCTAAGTTTTGCAAGACCCGCCGCAGAAGAACACAAAAACTCTCCGATCACACTCTCCATCCCATGGCTGTTAGACGAGAAATGAAGCTGCAGTCATAACCAGATTTGAGAGCATACAGGCAAATGCATGCGGCGAGACTTGCACTACTGCAGTACAGCGAGTATTGAAGAAGCAGTCGGAACAACAGTTCCAAAGACTTTGCCAGAGATCCGTCTGTCAGAAAGAGCCAAGTGTCAAAGCTGAAGACAGAGTGTGGCAGCATCGTTTCCAAGACAGCTGTATACATCATCGTTAGAGCCACACGCAAGTGTGAGTAACTATCCAAGAGCAAGTCTTATCTGACACAATTCCGATGATATCCCGGTCGTCAGTCTGAGTGACATTAGAATGGCTCTTCAGTACATTAAAAACGGTAAGTCCTCGGGTGAGGCTGGAATTACAGCGGAGCTTCTGAAAGCGGGTGGAAAACCGGTACTTGAAGTCCTTCAGAAGCTCTTTAATTCTGTACTCCATGGTGGGACTACTCCGGAGGCGTGGGGTTGAAGTACGACAGTCTTGTTCGTCCCGAAACGTGACAACGCTCTCT